TGAGGGTAGAGACCTTTTGAGGTTTTTTGGGATTTGGGGTTTAGGGTTTAAGGGTAAGACCTTTTGGGCTCACAGTGGAGGGTTTCGGGATCTTTTCGGCTTTTTGGGATTCACAGTGGAAGGTTTAGGGATCTTCTGGGCTTTTTTGGGATTTGGGGTTGAGGGTTTAAGGGAAGGGTTTGGGGTTGAGGCTGTAAGGTGAAAGGACTTTTGGGCTTTTTCTATGGGATTTAAGGTTTAAGGGGGGGGTGCACTGTGGGACTGCTTTGTCATTCAGGGTACACATGGGGTTTGGGGTTTCAGGCTCCAGATGTTTTGTGTTTTTTCTGGGGACGTGCTTGACGCTGTGGGGTTGAGATTTTAAGGGTGCACGACTCTTGGGCTTGCTTCAGGTTTCGGGGTTTCGGATTTCAGGGTGCACGACTGTTCGGCTTGCTGGAGGCGTTCGGGTTTAAGGACAAGTTTGGCCACATCTTAGAAAACCCGCGAAACGCTGTAAATACCGGTCTTTTCCTCTGTTCTGAGAACACGTCTGCGCAAAGTAGGCCCTGTAATTGACCGTTTTTGAAGCCCGAAAACACTGTAAATACCGATGTTTTCCTCCTGCGCCTAAAGTAGTTGAAAGTAGTTTGCGGGACTTTTTACACGTCCATTTTTCGTGTCCGTAAACGGACAAAGCCAGGAAACACTGTAAATACCGAGGTTTTCGTCTCTTAACACGAAAATTGCACGCCACAAAACCCCTGCGATCAATTACGTGACGCCTAGTAGTAGTAGTAGTAGTAGTAGTAGTAGTAGTAGTAGTAGTAGTAGTAGTAGTAGTAGTAGTAGTAGTAGTAGTAGTAGTAGTAGTAGTAGTAGTAGTAGTAGTAGTAGTAGTAGTAGTAGTAGTAGTAGTAGTAGTGTAGTAGTAGTAGTAGTAGTAGTAGTAGTAGTAGTAGTAGTAGTAGTAGAGTAGTAGAAGTAGTAGTAGTAGTAGTAGTAGTAGTAGTAGTAGTAGTAGTAGTTGTTGTTGTTGTTGTTGCTGCTGTTGTTGTAGTTGTAGTTGTAGTCGTAGTCGTAGTCGTAGTCGTAGTCGTAGTAGTTGTTGTTGTTGTGATAGTCGTGGCAGTAGATGTGGTGGTGGTGATGGTGGTATCAATTAGTGCAATAGCAGCAGTCGTCGTCGCAATAGCTCGTAGCAGAAAAAAGGCAGTTCTCAGGTTTAGTAGTAGTCATCGTAGTAGCAATCGTCGTACTCGCACCAGCAGTACTAGCAGAGTTTTTTAAACCGTGCAAGTCATGCTTGCAACCATGTTGCACCATCAATGGGCATTGCTGAAAAACCCATCTGACTTGACTTTTCCACACCACTCATACCAGCACTGTGGGGGGTGGGGGGGGGGGGGTGGTGGTCTATCGTTGTCCTCATCTCTCTGTTGTTAGCTGCTTTACTTGAAAACAGGTGCGTACTGGTTGAGGCTTGCTTCTTAACCCTTCAACAACATAGCGTGTAGTTTAAACAACTGAGCATCTCTTTTCCAGTACCTTGTTAACGTGCTACAATGCCACCAAGTCCTTTCGCCCCATTGACCCTGGACTGTAGATGCACATGCTCGTTTCTTCTGCACCCCGCAGACAAACCATTGCAAACGTCAAAAACCATAGACCTCATCATACCCAGCCCTTTGCATCAGAACTTGTGCAAATGCCGCAAGGTTTGAGCACACGGACACTCTGTGCTTGTGACTGCGCCTCCACGCCTTGCTCAAAAAACTCGAGGGGACCACTTCAAACACGCACAGACGGTCAATAGCCCAAGCATCAAGATCTTCTGGGAATCATACCTCCTACAACAACATTTGTGTTTCAGTTAAACGAATGTCTGCCGTCTGCATCGGGAACCGTGAGTAGTATCGTTAGCTAAACTCTCTCGCTTGTAGAAACAGTAATGTCTTGCGTGCAAATATGCCAAATGCAGCGCCATCATCACGAGTCTCGCGCTTTGTGGGATCCCATGCATCATGAGCACCCTAGTAGATGTGTCCGCTCTTCCGGCTCTTGGCTGGAAAGCAGAAGCTGAGCAGCCTGCGCACTCCCAAATAAACCAAGCGCCAAACAGCCGGATGACCGATGATGTCAGCCACCCGCTCTCTCACTCTCTCTTCCAGGGAGAAAAGACGCCCTATGAAGCCTCGTACATCCAAGCTCGAGCCCGAGAAGAAGTTTTTGTAAACGAACCAGTCCTGCCTTAGCTTCCAGGCTCAGCACAAATTCGAAACATGTCGAACACCTAACAGATGATGGGGACATGTCTCACAAGCTTCCTGTGACAGCACCACTCGCCCAGCTGGACCTTTCTGGTTGTACCGTCAAGCCTCCCTGTTGGACTATCATGATGAATGAGTGGTGATGCCTTCCTGGGTGCCTCTAGGATACTGCCACTGCGATGCATCACTCAGTGCACCTGCATCATCGATCATCCCGTGGCAATCTATCCTCAGCCGAAGGAGAAGCTGAGAAGCTGCTACAGACATGTGCAGGGCTTTGCTGAAGAAGCGGCGATGGGAGGTGCACATTCATGAGGGCCTGTGCGCTGCCATGCATTACATGTACTGCATGGCACTATAGCCTCACTCAAGGTCATTCCCGGCGGTCTTTAAGTTGCACATTCTGCAAGTCCGCTCATCAAGGTGCCACACACATGCTCCAGCCTGGCCTCAGGGCTCACTGCCTCCCGCGCGGCAGATCCACGTCATGAGCTCAAATTTAGCGACTGCTATACACTTCAGAATGGCACCACCGGGCACATGCTCTTACATGCTCTACTTGCAGCTCTGGGACAGCTCCGCAGAGGTGCGTGCCGCACCTTGACCACATTTGCTCGCATGTCACTGATGGACTTCTTGCTTTGCACGCAGGCGTTCCCACATGCGCAGTGTCGTCTTCTGGCCAACGACCAATGTGGAACTTCCATTTCAGAGCAAAACATGTGCCGAAAACTCCTCATTAAACACGCTGTCTTTGTCTCAAGTCAGAATCAGCTCTTTGCGATGAGGAAGGCAGGCGTTTCTGCAGGGCCCAAACCCTCCCACAGCTGTACCCTTCTTTGTTGTATCTTCCGGCATGCTGCCAAACGGGGTGCCAAGCCTGAGCAACTAGAGGATTTCAGAGCCCAGTCTCAGTTTGCTCATCTCTTGCCAAAAAATGATCAAGAAGCGTTGGGGTTGGGGGACCATAAACGAAAACAAAACCACGAGATAAGGCTCGGGAATGTTGTGAGGGTTGTCACGGGTTCTCGCCTCGGTGCAACAGGGTCGACATCGCGCTCTCTCGGCCCATGCTAGGCCCCGCTACTTCGCAGATTCTTCACATCGCCTACATTTTGTCTACATTGCATTCATTTCCAATTTGAGAGATGCCCATTTCAATCCTAATTGAGCGGGGAGGGGGCGCAATGTTTTAACCAACCCATGCCAGCCACAGATTTCCGAGACGAATCAGGGGGAGCTTGTTTAGTTGGTGTGTCCACCGGGAAGGTTTGTCGTTGCGCACTGTCTTGTCGATGCTTATCAAATGCAAGTATCCCCATGTACTCCCTATAATGCCAAGACACCACAAGAGGCAGCCACTCTTCATGCAGCTAGGCTACCATGCAGCCTCACTCACGGCATCTCGCCAGGCAGCATGAAGGGAGCGACAGCCATGCTCTCCTGACATTGCTCTTTCTGCGGCCAGACCCATGTCAATCTCAATCCCTAGGCGCCGATACGTCCAAACACCTCCCTGACATGTGGAAGTTCGTTCTGAAGTTTGTGATTCTGTGGCGACATTTTCAAAGGTCACGTCACGCATGCAGCACATCCCTTAAGAGATGTGCCACCTTCATGTGAGACGGTCTGAGCAAGAGAAAACGCATTGCAATTGTCTGAACAAGAGCGGCCTCCCTCCTTTGCGGACAAAACGACATTGGCGGTTGAGATTGTCGGATAGGAGGAAGGCAAACCAGCAGTGCTGGTGCAGTTCAAAAGGAAAGATGAAAAAAAAAGAAAAAAACGCCAGGCATCCTGCAAGACACGAAGCATATTGAAGCAGCAAGGAGCAGCTATGCCGATGTCACAGCGGAAGCCTTTCAAGCTAACGTGGGTTATCCTAAGCGTGATGCGTCATTCGCATGCTTCGCTTCCCACAGCCACTACGGTGTAGTGGCTTAGCATGCGCACAAGGAAGGCCTGACCATCACTTCCGATGAGCTCGGGTCTGTGCAACGGCTGCCAGGACAGAAACGCTCAACACGTACCGTGGCAGACCGCGACTACTCATCTAGCCAGGACTGTACCGGGAAAAAACTCTTGCTCCTGAGCCTCTCTGCCCCCTGAAGGTTCCATGAACGCGAATTGCCAGATCAAGCCAAAGCGATCTGAGTCTTAAAACAATTCTCGGCAGTTGTAGTAGTGAGCAGACGTCACGTCTAACGCGACTGTGTGTTGAAGCGCGTGTTGTCAGGGCTCCCAAGCCGGCACTTAGAAGAGTACGTTTGCAAGCTTTCTGAGACGAGTAGCTCTACATAAACAAAGATCCTGCCACCCACTTTCGATGGCTATAGCCTTGCCAGCTCCTGTGCGTTTGCTGTCTTCTCACATTTTGAAAGAAGGTAGTTTAGTTGGCATCGGCCACATCCGTCACTCTTGCTGACATGCTTGATGTATTGCACGTTGGTCTGCAATGCTGCAATGCAATTGACGAGCATTCCCTGCAGCTGGTGACTGGGCCAGTTTAAAATACAGCTTCCTCTTGGAGGCAGCTGCCCATGCAGAAGTTCAAAGGGTGCCTGTTCCCTACAGCTATTTGCCAGGAACTTTGGCCACATGTGGCCAGGCCCTATCTGGCTCATAGATCAGAGGCTAAACGTGGTGTTCACATGACCGACAGCTGAATCACCAGCAGCTGATCAGAAACGGTATACAGTGTACAGTCTGCTCAAGTCTCCTGAGTTCTACTGTTCAGACGCTCAAGCCTCCTCACGTCCCATACTCAGTCGCGGCATAGAGATCCTGCAGCAGTTGTGCCGTGCCGCGCCTGCCAACATCGAGAGATGAAAAAAGTTGTGTGATCGAAACATCGTCATGGGAATGAGAACGATGCAAGAGGCAACCCGTCCAATGCAGCATTTGGCCTGGCCTGCCCTGGCGTGCCGGACGCTCCGGTGAGGAGAAGCTGTTATCTGCCAGAAGCTCCTGCCGACAGTCGGACGCCCGCTGAACAACCTTTTTGCCAGATGTCAGAGTTCCCTTCTGGGCTTTGCGGCGTCTCAGATTCGCAGATTTGCCCATCGCAATTTCCTGTTCCCGGACAAAAAGCGCCTGCATGCCCATAGCACTTGGCGTTTTTCCAATGCCAGCCATGCTCACCTCGCTCGCCATACTGGCCTGACATGCAGACAGCAGCTGTCGCAGCAGCAGGCTCAGCAGACAGCAGCGAGCATGGTTAACCAGCTCTCTGCGCGTGTCTGCCTCTTCAATTGGCTCGAAACTTGTGTTATCGTTGACTGAGGGCGGCGGCCCTGTTTAGTGCTTTCTGAGATTGAGAAAACTCATAAGGCTTTTGGAGCTTATCTTGTGGTAGCTTGGCCTGGCCTTGAGTTGCTGATTGGACTTTGGAACTCACACACGCACACGTTGACTTTTGCGACCCTCACAAAGCTCGTTCAGATGGAATCAGCTCAGAAGTGCCTGGCTGAGAGACCGTCCAACCTCCCCCGCGAATGACATCCACGAACTGCTGCGGGCGGTCTCCTCGTCCTGGCCATGTCAGGTCGAGACAAGTCAACGACTCGAGATTTGGGGCTGCGTATATCCATGTATATCCAGGACGAGATGTGCAAGCCATGAGGTGAAAGGGGTTTTGACCTGCGACACTCGTGTTGCCGGCTATTGCGAGCAACCCGATTTCCGAGCTTTTTATGTAATCGTGCCCAGCACCTCTGCACTGGGAGGAGACAGCTGCTGAAGCATGGGCTTCACCTTGCGTGCAGAGGACATGGGCCACTGTTCCCACCACCGCGCCTCCATGAAATCAAACGCTTGCAGAAAACACGGGCCGAGTGCATCCCAGTGGCCAATCTGCGTCCACGGCCAGGAGCAGCTTGGTCCTGATAGTCTGATAGCAAATCACTCAGACATCGTGCGTCCCTCAGAGTCGCCCACACAGACCCAATATTTCCCACATCACGCTGCCTTCCCAAAAACACAGGTGCCCCAATCACGATCTCGTTGTTGCTGCTCCTCCCTTGGTTCCTTGGCGGAAACTGACTGGTGCCAAAATTGTGAATACAACGAGGGAAGCCGAAGCTTCAGTGCCACCGACCCAATCCCCATCGTATTCACCGTCCGCCACCCTTGCTCACAGGAAATTTTCCCCAAGAATCGCGAGCGGATGCCGGTGGAGCCGGCGTCAACATCGGCCTTTTCGGATGATCGCCAGCCTGAGCTCCGAACGCGCAAGACTGTCCCATACTGTCCCCAAACGTCATAATATGACGCAAGCCTTGGCAGAACTTGGCAACGCATGAACTGGCATGAACTGGTGCAGGTGGCCCCTGGAATGGACAGTCTGTGCATCTGCGGCAGTCCCGCTCCACCATTACTCCTGCTCAGACTGTGGCAGGCGAGCACCGAATGACAGCATCTTTAGATATGCGGGTGGATCTTATATAAGGTGATTCTGGAGAAATTCTTTGGCCAGGCAGAGGCCAAACGGCGTGTTTCATGGTCGAGTTCCACTACATTGGGTGGTTGGGCAGGGTGCATATCTTCCTGGGAGCTCGGTTGCCTTAGCGGTAGCCTTGAGCAAACTGATGGAGTGCTGTACTTGATGTCAGGCAAACCCATATACGAAAGTTCTAGAGGGTGAGCAAATGGTCGAAAATTCCAGACCAGCCTCCAGACTTGGAATTCGTAATCACGATTAGCAAACATCGATTCCTCACTCAACCACTAAAGGAAAGAACCAACTAAACAAGTCCGGAAACTCCCCTTACTTACGAGGCCCTGGCGATGTTCTGCTTTGTTATGCTTTGTTCTACTAGAAGAGGTGTTCATAACAGAATCCGGCCCGTCACTAGAAATTACCCTAGAGGCCCTAGAGCTTGCACTTGCGCTGCTTACCTGGAGAAGAATGTTCACTTCCAGATGCCGCCTCTACTCTCCCAGCGCTAGGGATCGGTGTACTTTAAGAAAGGAAGCAGAGGCTTTCGATTCTCACACTGACAACAGCAGGCGAGGCTTTCGTCTGCAGGTTCCAGTTCAAGATGGTGGGAGGGAGGCATTAGAGTCTGGGCTTTTGAGTCACGCGGGACCCCCCCCCCCCCACGAAGACTTTGTGCAGACCTTGTGCCATGAGAAGCTTGGTGTTGCCTGACTTCGGGACTCTACGTGCTTTAGCCATATGTTCACTACCGCTGATTTGACATATCTGCGTCGGAGCAGCCATACAACAGACAACTGCTTCACTCAACAGAATACAGAATAAATGCATCGGCAATGGAAGCAGATTCCACGACACCTTGGCAGGAGCGAAGGCAAACTCTGGGGATGCGCAGAGAAGCGCGGGGGCGATGCCTAAAATTTGTTGAAACTCATGGCACTTGTTGAAGGACAAACAAACACATCAGCTTTCTCTCCACTCCATCCTTCCAGAGAGAGTTCGCCCTGCCGGAGGTCCAATCGCATAATCTTCATCAACCTCCGGGTGCGCATCGTCATCGCCTGCTAGCGGACTAGCGGACAGAAACCATCGTCAGTGAGTTCAGAGCGCAGGTGGTCTTGATCTGTGAAACTGAAGAACGTTCACAAGGGGTCATAAGAGTCCCAGCCACTAGCTGCCAGCAGCTCGCGCATAGCGACAGCACTTGCGTTGCTGACCACACTCCTCAGCGTTGCATTCTGCAGGCTTCAGACTGCTATCGTAGGGGTTGCTGCGCGCACGTACGGCCAATGCAGTAGCTTTGAGTGAAACACAAACACTTTGTGTGCGAGCATTGGCCAGGCACGGGGAGGAAGGCGCACACGTCCGCAGTAACTGGGGCATGCTGGACCAGGCTTCCCCAACCGAACTGTCCCACAGCACGAGCATACTAATTCACAAAGCTCATCACTACCCTTTACTAACAGAGTCAGTTTGTGAAACTGGTCTCAACTTCCGGGAAACGTTTTGAGAACCACCGCTGACCACCTGACCAACACATAAGTACACACCTCCCACGTTGTTTCTCTCTCTCTTCTTTGGCTCTCTCTCCTCTTCCTTCCTTCCACAGCCGAAGGCCCCCCCCTTCCAGGGAGAGCCGCCCCGAGGGGCCAGCCTACAGAGTCCAGTCGGTGGTGATTTAGGCACTGGATAGGATAGGAGTCTCCCACTAGCGAACAAGACACTCCGATAAATAGCAACAGTGTGACTCTCTCTCTCTCTCTCTCCCACACGCATAACCCCCCCCGAAGGGAGGCTGCCCCCAGGGGCGCGCACGTCCAAGGTTTGTCTGTGTGAATTTCCTCCCCGTGTTGGGTGAGGTGGAGTAGCTCATTGGCCAACTGGGGCTGGGGTTCCAACCGCTGGGTGCGCATGGTTTTTCCCCCGACTGTACCTCCCAGTTTCTTTGGCTCTCTCTCTCTCTCTCTCTGCCAAACAGATCACACACACAAAAAAAAAACAAATAACAGAACAAAAAGATGCTCCAGTGTCTACGGCAGACCAGTTTCATGACGGAACCGCTCCGGCCGCGCGAAGACCGCCGTGAGGCGCTGGACATCATGCCAGACCTGCTGTTGACCCATTTGAATGCATTTCTTTGTTTGGAACCAAATCACCTACATTCTACACAGTCTATGAAAGTACGCAGCCTCCAAGATTGCCAGGAAGCCGTGTCGTCAAAGTCTTCCTCCTGCCCTTCCTGAAAAACAATGTCGAAAAATGTCGACAATGACAATTCACAGCATATTGCTATATGACTCTATGTTGCTCAACTTCCAACCCGATCCAGCATTCACCAAGCACGGCCTTCTTCACCAGCCGCCGGCGTCGTCCGTCCTCGGTCCGTTCCTGAGTGAAGTGGCATGTGCCGAAGAGGTCGCGGCTCACCTGCAAGGAACATGCAAGAACCAGAAGAATCTCAGAAGAAAGAAAGCAACACACCATGGAACTACGTAGCGCAGCAGGCAAAACGCCCGTAAAATTTGTTGGAGGTGCCTGTTGCTCCGCCACCACCTTTGATCCCAGCACCGGCGAATGCTGGGAATGTGTCCACCAGCTCATCTGGCCCCTGGCAGCTGCTCATATGACAGAGACCTACTGCCTGTTGCACGCGTGGTATGGCGCCAGAACACACTTACAGTACAGCTTCTGCGAGCACTGCAAAAGCAGAGACTGCACCCGCAAGATTGTTTTCGCTCAGTCCACCCCCTCAACATCTCGAGCTTCACGCTCAGCTTTGGTTGTGAGGTTTGAGCCCTCACGCTTAGTGACTATCACAAGGTCGTCGTCCTCAATATCAACGATCACTGGCGTGATGGGCTTCTTGGGGAGTGGTCGAACCAACAGCATGTCGAACCATTTTGTCTGGCTGTCCACGTGTCCCCGATCTCGAACATGGGCCAATGATAGAGATGTGGTGGAATTCAATTCGGACCGACTTCGCCTCTCTGACCTCACCTTGGAGAAACGATCGGCAAGTGCGTAGATGTGGTACTGAGGGCAAAGCTTTGCAGCAAGTCTAGACACGGCGGGGCTCGAGAAACTCTTGTTGACAACAGGTGCTACCCAAGCCTGGCTGTGTGATGACCACACCTTGTCAGGCCATTCGGAGGTCAGCAAGATATCGATGCTCTCTCCCCTCCGCTGCATCATGGATGCTTGCTTCTCAATCTTGTCCAACGCAGCAGAGGTGTAGTGTGCTCCAGCAAAAAGTCCGCGACCCCACTTTTGTTTGAACGTTTCAGCCTCATAACTGCCCGAGAGATAAGCAATTCGTAATCCTTCCACTTGCACAATCCCACACGATCCCAAGAAGGTCAGGTTCGGCTGCAAGAGAACAGGCTCGTTGTCTTGCTCAGCTTTCTTGATGAAGACCTCAGAACTGCTGTCGACGAAGTAAACAGGTACTGGCAGGACGCGCGCCGCGGCCGAGCCCACATACTCCGAAATGCGGCTGCACATTGCGTTGGGCGGCAAAAACTGACCCACTGCGAGAACGAGATCTACCTCGCTCTTTAACTCGATCAACTTGGCATGCAATATGTCCAAGCGGCCATACATATCACCGCAAACCATTACTGTTCGCGGCTCGTTCTCGGATGTAACCAGTTTTAGGTAGTCTATGGCCTCACCTGGAGGGGGCAAGAAAGGTGTCCGCGCAGCAATCTCCGACTCTCCATCAAGGAAGGGCGTGTCAGCAGCCAGTCGCTGCCGTTTGATGGCGGGTGATTCTGCTTTCACGTCCTTGACAGCGACATCCATGGCTTCACGTCTGTTTGTGCCAACTCGCCTCGGGCTTGCTTTGGGATGACACCGGTTGGCAACTGAAGGACCACCATTTTGCCTTATGCTTTTGGATCTGCATGAGCATGTGTTTCAGCATGTTTGTCTTCACAGCAACGTTCCTCCAAAACCAATTTACGCCAGCCGATATGCTGAGGCGTGGCACATCAGATTGGCGCCTGTGGTGTCAAACCCTTACTGCCGAGAACCCTTCCAAGTCATGCGGAACTGTTGCGCTTTAAGCAAGTCTCTTACTCTTTGCAGTTCTTTAGGTGCAGAACCGGCTTGCGAGCCTGGCATGTTCGCCCATCTCAGGAGACATTCCGCCTGCAAAAGGCGGGTTCTCAGAAATGTTATCAACGCCTGCTTGCCTCAATCTGACATCTGGGAGAATGAGACTACAACCAGTTTCCGCACCCGATCTTTTAGGGGATCTACAGAAGACAGAGGCAACAAACTCGCCTACGCTGTCGATACGGAGTTTCTTGCCACCGGAGTTCTGCCGCACGAAGCCTGGTCCGGCAGGATTGCAAGATGTTGCAAGGATATGCAAGGCTGCAAGAATGTGCATTAACGTTGCGGCCATGCCATGCTCTGCACACCAAAGCCGGGTGACTGCGTATCTGTCCGGTCGCCATCCTTTCAGGACCAGGCCTCAACAAAGGCAGGGGGAGGAGTTCCACCTACCCTGTCTTTCTGTCTTTCTGTGTTCGCTCTCCAGCTGTTACGTTACCAGTCATGCGAACGCCCCTGAGCCCTTGCGGTGTCTCTTGTGCGGGCCTACACTAGTTCAGTTCGGCAGCAGCAGACAACGAAGCGGGATGACAAACATTTTTGCAGTCGCCAAACAACATCCCTGGCCTGCTTGGAGACTCTCTTTCTGGAGCAGACCTTTGCAGACCACTGGAAAGCCAATAGACTTGCAGCGTTTCGCATGATGGTGCTTCCCCAGCTTTGAGACCGAGAAACGGCGAATAAGGCTCCGAGTCATCTGGAACTTCCAGTGGCACTTGCTCGTACTCAGACAACCTTGGACATCAAGATGGCAAAGGGTCCAACATTGTCCCACCCCAAACTCCATATGTCCACTGAGCCGCTCAAAGAGCAACCCAACGGCGCTATAGTACGAAAGTACCCTTCCAAAGAGATGGAGATGTCCGCCAAAGGGCTCGAGAGTTTGCCAGATGGTGTGGCTCAAATCCAGGACGTCCAGCAACTCCCTGACACTTGGGTTCTGCAGACGTTTATCGTTACGAGCGCCTTCTGCATGGGTTCTTGGCCATCACTTAGATTGTAGGAGGGAGCCGGTTGGCTTGAGGGGAGACATGGAAAAATGCATTTGAGGAATGTGCAGCCACTTGAAGGAGACCTTCGGCTGCAAAAAAACTGAAACGATTCAGCGCCTCCTTGAAACCAGCAAGCGGAGCGGTTTCCCAATGCACCAACCCTCCCACGACCCAACCTGCCCGAAGAAGTCAACTTGGCAAGTCCACCCTCTCAAGGGAAGTAGCAGCGACGTCTTGTTGAAGGGTGGTAACGCAGGCAGAAGAAGTCGCACAAGAGTCGCCCGAACATCCTGAATGCAAATGCGGCCTCTGGTATGGTTCTTCCACGCAGGCCATTGTTTTCCCGAACCCAGTGTCTTGTAAAGAAGACCTGATAGCGCAGTATACTCACCCGGCAAGAACTTGAGAACGCGCGCCAACTCAGGTTCAGGGAGGGAAAATCTCTGTTGAAATCCTTTGCTCGTTTCCAAATTCCAAACTGACAAGTTTTTGAAATCACGACCATGCCCCGCTCGGGAAGCAAATGCGCAAGATCATCTTGAAGCTCAAAGCAGAGCCGTTCCAAGAATTTTGACAATGAAAAGCCAACCGTAACTTTCTAAGCGGCTTGGGGTAGAAAACGGCGTTCCAGCCCGCAAACATGATGTGATCCCCTTCCTACGAGAGATGGACGTGCTCTACAAAGGTGCCCAGAAAATTTCATGTTTTTGGAAGTCTCGCGTGGAAGTGTCTCAAGACAAGGGGAATAGCCACGACTCACCGTGTCTCAGGCGAAGTTCAAGTTTCCAAATTCCTCGTATGGACTCAAAAGTTCAGCTTTAAGATTGTGCACAGGGCAAGGGGCAACAAGCCCGCTTTGGGACCACAACGCATGATTTTCTCGGTTGTCCGTCTTGCCCCCTAATCCAGCCGAACAAGAGAAACGACAAAGAAAAAACAGTTCCCCCCTCATGGCGCCCCCCCCACCCCCAAGGTAGCTACTGTACAGGATACCCGTACCCGTCTCTCTTCACACCTGTATAGCTACTGTACAATGATGGAAAATCTCCAGCTCAGCCTGACGGGCTTGATTTGCAGAAAGCTCCTGGGCGCAGAATCGCTCACGATAAACTTGCACCCTGCTCTGGGGGCAGCAGCCTCTAACTTCTCCAAGTCTCTTCGTGCTGCCACTGGACACGACGTACCGCCGGCGAAATATCAAAGGTTCGCAGCGAAGGGTGGAGCTCAAAAAGCAAGAACTCCAGCTTGCACCTTGCTTGCAGGATCGTGGAAGGCACCAGATTTGTCTCAGCAGTACATGCCATGTATCGTCGAGTCTCATGATGTCTCATGGGCCGTCCACAATCCCAACTTTTGGCAGCTTGCTTTACTATTGCGAACCTTCAGACTGAGGTAACCTGAAACCCCACAGAAAGAACTACATCTCCTGATTTGCAGCAGCTGGACAAGTGCAAATAAGGGGCCCTTTCCTGGGTGTGGTGGGGTCCCTTGGAAGCTGTGCAGAGACACATCCTGCGCACAAAGATGCATGGACAGTGTCCAAGCCTGAAGCTTTCCAAAACAGTTCTTTGCCCTGGCCTGCACGTGATTCTCGTCCTGGGGCACCTGCGCCATGGGAGCCAACAACAGGAACCCAAGCTCATACCGAATAAACCAGGCGGCGGCTGGTTGTAAACATGTTTCTTTCTTTCTTCCTCTTTTAAGGCGGGGGGCCAGGCCAGCGGAATTCTGCTTCGCTTTCAATTTCTGCATTTCCTGGAAGTTTTCCCTCATTTGTTCGTTTCTGCGATGCAGCTGTCGCAAAATCAGCCACCCTTGCGGTGGATGAGGGTTTCTTGGGCGCCGAAATTTCGCGAAAACCCTTCGTTTTGAGCACGCGATCGAGTCTTGGGGGAAGCGCAGTGTCGCGCTTCAACACCCTGCGTTTCCGAAGGCGTTTCCAACACGTTCGGAAACGGGATTGCTTGAAAACATGCCCCTTATATGAACTGAAGCACAACTTGCATAGACAAACCTTAACAAATTCCAGAAACCACCCAAGCTATTCGGAGAACCTCTGGCGAAGTTCGGAGCTTTGCGTTTTGGGGTTTCATATGAATCGCAGTCTAATTACACGACCACCTGAATACAAGCAAAAGAAAAACAATGTATGAAGCAGATACTATTTAGACAGAACAATCTGAAATTCATACTAACTCAATTAGATTTCCATGCAAATACATACGGATTCACCTACATATATACATACACAGATACACATATCATGTACAGAGACACATGCAAACCATCTTTTGGTTCTGACACTCTCCTTCTTCCACTCTTACTCTTTTACACTATTCTGTTGGACACTTTCGGGACACCCCACCGTGTGGTGCATGCGTTGGCTCTTTGCACTCATGCTCTGTGATGCCCAGCTGGCACTGAACTTTCCCAAAAGAACCTCCGGAATGGTCGAGCCCGTTGCCGGGGAAGCTGCCTGTCGCCACGTCGCACTGCATGCATCGTCATGAACACCTGTGCAAATACAAAAAAGCCCCTCTGATAGCAGGCCTGCTTGTCAGCTGTGGTCAGCATCCTTGGTGGGACTTCAAACTGTCCGGTGCCAAAGCCAGCTGCGCCATGCGACACGATTCGCTTGCCGCGCGGCTTTGCAAATGCTTGCTTGCGCTGATGTGCGCGAGCACTGGGATCCGTTGGTGGCGGATGCGGCGCCAGAGGCATCTGGCAGCTGTCAAAGGCAAGTTCCGCACACACTCTTGGATGCCGCTCTTCCGGCCAACAGAATAGTGTAAAAGAGTAAGAACTCAGAATGCAAGGGTGTTAGGCAGTGTTAGGCCCGATCCCCAGCATCCCCAACAAAGCACCTGAAAGAAAGGGTAGCCCAGCGCAGCATTTGCATCCGGCCGCTGCAAAGGTGACCTCTCCATCAAAGCCCCGAGAAGCTCTTTCCTCGGAAGCAGACTGCTACATGAGGTCGCCACTGTACCTTTACTCCGGACTCCGGTTCCTCATGATACTTTCAAGCTGCATTAAACCTCTCAGCACCCCGAGAACGATACTGATTCTCTCCCTCTCTCTCTCTCTCTCTCTCTCTCTCTTTCCTCGATGCAGAATATTTTTATGTCTACGATTTCCGAGTATGCAGCCGCGGTTGGGCAGGTACCAGCAAGTTTGTTCACTTCTCTGTTGTTGGGACGAAGGCATGTTGAACTCGTGCTGTGAAGGCCTCATGAAAACTACAGGAGGCACACCCTCACGACGAGAACAAGCGTGTTGAGATGCTCGAACATGTGCCACTTCCTGGAGATCCGTTCTTGCCTGTCTTGCCGGTAAAGTCTACCATTGCAGCCTATAAGTCATACTGTACGACAGCAACAGCTGGACTTGTTCCACAGGCACTGTCCGACGCCTCTGAGCGCCGCCAAGATTCAGACTCGGAGACCTCTGCAGCTCGACAAACTGGTCCAGGTTGACTTTGCGCATCAACGCGCTGTTGACGGCTACTGCCAGTTCGGGGTCGCAGAAAGGTCGTTGCTTCATGATCATGAAGAAAAGCCTCGGGACATTCACTGGCTGCCGACTACTGTCGGAGATTCTCGAGGCGTCCTAGACTCTTCTACAGTGTATGTTCGTAGATGGGAGCCGAATTAGCCTACAGGAGCTCTGCCCTAGCCTGGGTCTTCATTGCAATCATGACCTCCGAAATTCTCCAGCCTCCCCTCTCCCTCCCCTTTCAAGCCGAGCCACACGCACCCGGCACTGAAGATGTCGCTCTGGGTGGTGGGCTCCATATTCAGTAAAATCTCGGGCGCCGTGCCGCCCGCAGGTCCACAATGAACAGGACGCTTTCGCACTTCGCTGAGGCGCGTGGCGACACCGAAGTCGCACAACTGAGGCCGCGAATTCGACAGAAGCACGTTCTCAGCCTTCACGTCTCGATGAAAGATGCCCTGAAGGTGTATGTGTCGCAGCGCGGCCAGCAGACCCTGCATGACACTGGCTGCAAAGTCTTCCGACATCGAATCTCCGCAATGCACCCAATCGAACAAGTCCCCCTGAGCTGCGAGGGACAGCGCCATGGCCCAGCATGGTCTCGTGTCATCGGCAAAATCGCGCCCATCGGCCTGCAGTAGTGACATGCTGTCAGTATAGGAGGCAACGAACAGTTTCCAGAAAGCCAGCCTGGAACACAGAGACGAGCTTGGCGATGTTCTGGTGGTCATGGCAGAGCAGCTGAAGCTCAATCTCTTTCTTCACCTGCCGCTGAAGTGGTGCATCGGTCATTGGGACAACCTCAGCAACTTGGTGTTGCCATGCGAGCCCCCGCAGAACCGCAAAAAACAAGTCCCTCTGTCAAAGGCCGTCGTGCTGCAGGGACGCGGAGAGCCAGAAGAGATGGTGCAGAGCGCAGAGTTGCAGAGAGGGATAAAGGCTCAGAAGGTGTAGAGGACTCAGTCACAACTAGAATTCAGCCTCGGAGCCTTAAACGCAACTTTCCCTTGCTCGGCAGAGCTCGGGTTATGTTGCTGCGCACGGAACACCTCAGATGCACCCGCACCCACTCACCAGAGCATACAACACCTGTGCAAGATTGCCCGGTGCCCAGGCATCCATTTGCAGCCACAGCCACCGAGGCAAACCCACCTCTCGAAAGGAGGGGTCCTTGCTGGGCTGGCTTGGACACCCGATACACGATTTGAAACTCTCTGCTACAACAGCTCCCAGTCCTATCACGTAGGCAGACGGCCTTGGAAGAGGCAGGCGACGATGCTGCATGACGCTGCTGGCGGTGTCACTTGTGTCGCATCAACTGAGGCCGCATCAGGTCGTGTCGAATGACTCCGGACTTGCTCAGGAGTCCGACAGCCTCAGCTGGCACAATACGGACGTAGGCACATTCTAGGATTCAAGGACACGCCCCGAAGTCCGAACTTCCGGGTTGAGATGATACCCTGTGAGAACGATCATTGCAAATGATAACCATATCGTCTCCAGACCGAGCAACCTTCTGAAGATCGGCATCGCTTCCGGAGACACGCATGACCCAAACCTTCGCCAGGCCAAACAGCAAGTGCAGCAACGACAGGTGCATACGATGTAGACACATTCCATGATGACCAGCCATACCACTGCATGCTTTTCAACGACATATAACTGTAAACCTTTGTTTCATACCCAAATCACCTTTTCCCATGCCCAAATGCTTCAATCGAATGGATATGACCAGTCCCAAGATATATTTCGGCCTGTTTGGAGACATGCCAGTACCAAAACCCCGATATACCTACTCCTCACCTAGAAAGGCTGGCCGGTCAAGAAGTCAGTTCCTATTTCCTAAGTAGGCACTGGGGAGCGGGGGGTAGATCCGCCGAGGCCTCGGGCCGGAGGTGTATAGGTTGTCAGAACAGGCACCCCCCTCCAAATCCTCCCCCCACACCCAAAACCATCCCCTTTTTTTGCCTCAAAAGGGCACCCCCCCCCCCTAGGAAACCGGGGTTCGCAAGCGGACGGTCCCCCTACCCCCCCCAACCCTTCCCCCCCTCAGAAAAATATGGTGAGGGTTTTCGCCCCCCCGCCCCCATTCCCCCCCCACCCGCCCTACCCCCCCCTGAGGGGCCTGGCTCAGCCGAGCCGTCTCTTGAACCCTAAACCCAACAAAACCCTAAACCCCAAAGCGTGAACCTTGAGCCCTAAGCCCTCAATCCTCGACTAACCCTCGCCTCAACCCTAAACCCCAAACCATAAACCAGAAACCTGGAACCCTAAACCCTAAACCCGTCCAGCGACTTGGGCGCTGCGGAATCACCATGCTCACGCGGATGCGCTGGGCCGGGCCGAGGCGGGTCGCGTAGCGTTAAAATTACAGAGATCCTTGCAGTGCCGCAGGTCTTGCGGCTTGCGCCGACAGAAGTGTAAGAGCAGCGTGCTGGGCGCTCCTCTGTGGGAATTGGGCCCGTCGACAGCGGTGCCAGCGCAAGCAAGGACGAATCGCCCAAAAACATCGCACCTAAGCTCAAGAGCGTTCAAGAGCACTTCTACGCGGCAAGTGCTAGCCGTCATCAAAGCTTTTTTGCTGGATTCGCTTCTGCAGGGCTCCCGCTAAACTAGTAGCTTCTCGCCATGTGCGCGAGGCCTTCTAAGTCTTTCTGGGCTCAAACAGGAAGAACGAGGCGATGCTTAGGGATCGGGGCCTAGTGCCACTCATCTCGCATCTAGGTTGAGAGGAATCGACATGACGCCATGAGTTTTGAATTCAAATCACCACTCTGCCGACACCGAGTGGATTTTGGTGTAGCTACGCTCCATGACACTCGTCGCAGGTGGCACAGCTGGGCGCGACGGAAACCCCTTCTGCACCCGGAACCACCCATGGAACTACACCTGAGAGCGCATTACTTAATCATGCAACCATCGGCGCCGAGCAGCATCCGAGCAAGCATGTGTTGATTTTGGTAGGTGGTGGCGATTTGGGATGCGAGTGTCAATCGTGGGGGTCTGGATGGCTTCTTCAAATGCACCAAATTCAATTCAATAAACTGAAGAAAAGGCAGCAGTACCATCAAAGGCAAGCTGCACCCGACAGGCAAGCCAGTATGAAGCACAACATCAAGTAAACCTCCGTGTCACACGCCACGCCATTCCTTCATGTAACGTCTTCACGGTACATCTGCCGGGGGCTACTCACTTTTATACTGGCTGTCTATGTCTCCTTCCTGCTGCGGGCTTGCCCCCGCCCCAGTCCACCTCTTCTTCTTTCTAGCACGGTGTGTGGTCTCCACACCCACGTAGTCCTTGCCTTTCCAATGGTTTGCCATCATGGGTGGGATGATGGCCGCCTCCCCTTCGCCACGCAATTCTACCAGGTTTCTCGTTGTACTTCGCGGCCGTGCCAACACGCTCGGTGCTCTTGGCCTGTTTATCCGGAGGATCGCCTCTCTATCTCTGCGCCTCTGGGCCTATGTTCCTACGCCTCATCCCTGCTTTGCTTCCGGTGTGGGGCTCTCTCCTATGACAGCGGTAACAGGTCTGCAAAGGGTGCAAGTCCCCCCTTCGACGGTGGCCAGGTGCCTAATCCAACAGCTACGCCAAACCCGATGCACCATGGATAGCCATTACCCTGCATGCTTCCCCCCCCCCCCACCCCCCAGGTTTGCATTGGACTTCTCTCCCCAACAGCTTAAAAGCAGCCTACACATGCGAAGGCCCTCCACATGATGTCGTTGCCCGCGCCTCCCGCTTGGACTTCCTGCTCCCACCCACTCACACGAGCCACTAGTCCTGTTGCTTTGCTCGGCTCTCCTGATGTTCCGGCCGACGAAGGGGTCAGACATCACTATGTGTCACTGCTATTCCTCTATCTTTTCCTTCAGGGTGCCGAGGGCCGAGGCCATGCGCTCCAAGCGTGCGCCAGTCTTGGGCTACCAGCCGTCTCTCGCGATGTCTTTCTCTTCTCACTTCTTCATGTCATTTCTTGAATATTCTAGGTTGCACACACACCGGACCCCGGAGCGCTTGCAGCCGAGGCGCTGATGTGTGCCATAAGCAAAGGGATCTGCAATAACGGCTCTTCGTTCATCTGGCCTGGCCCATTTAATCGCTCAGTTAAGCAATCATGCCGCTCCAGCTATGTTATGGGACAACGCAGCCGCTTTGGGGTCTTTGCTGCTCGCAGTGCCTCGAGACGAAAAAGCCAAACGTCCAGTGAACACACCCATGGCTTCGACACTGTCTCCGCCTGCGAGGGGCATGCACCAAAGGAGGCACCAAGGCGCATCAAGAAGAGCAGCGTTTCGCTGCGAACTAAATTGCAAGATTTACATCGGTTCATCTCAACGGACGAGTCAGTGCCGACTATCTATCCGTCTATCGTGCGACTGGCAAAGGGATGACAGCTCGGAGAATTGCAGCACTGGACACAATGGGCTTGCCGGTTTGCCACCCATGGCCGCACGTCAATTTGGAGTGCGTTTGATACTCCGCTGGCCTTCTTGTCGGTCGGCAGCTGGATGGGCGGACTCGGATCGGGAGAACACAAACTCTCTGCACGCCAAGGGTTCAACGCCACACTAAACTCTAACCTGATTCTTCAGGCCAGCTGGCGGCTCGAGCAAGCGCCTCGGACAGAAGCATGTCCACTGCTCCTGGCTGCGTGCCAGGAAGCGAAAACAACATGCCAAGTCTCACAGCCTCACAGCAAGTTACAGAGTGACAACCTCAGAATTCCATGCGATACTCTCCAGTGCGCCCCCGGCTCTCCTTCCGGAACCTGCAGCTCCTCAGCTCTCATTGGCGCGAGGCCTTGCGAAAGGTGGACCTGAACAACAAGGGCCGACAGCATGTAAAATGAAAAGAGAGGTTGACCGACCTGCGTTCCCAGCCCGATTCAAGGCTCCATGTCGTAATGTCAACTGGCCAACATGGGTTTCAGGTCATTTTGAAAATCCCTTGGACTACACTCGGACGGTGGTTTGTGGAACGCTATGGCGCGAAGGTCCTGAAAATGACCGGTAAACCAAAATCAGGTCTTGGTCAGCCTGCCCCCCGCCAACTAGGACTCAAACCCCCAAATGGTATTTCACCGGCCGACAATTGCAGTGAATCAAAGGTTCTACTTTACTTAAGCCCCTCACACCCTTGAGTGGAGAAGAGCATGCGTTTGTCCGCAGGAGGGTTTAGGGCGCGTTCTAAAACCATCCAGTTCCCTTGAGCAGCCGTGCCCTATTGTGCGTTTATTGTGCATCTGAAAGTCACAGAAAAACTTGGCCCGGCAGACCCATCCAGCTACCAGGTGAATGCCGTTCGACGCTCAAAAGTGCACAAGCACTATTGCTAGCATCCCTCGGGCTAGCAGCGGTTAGACTCTTAGACCTTTCAAAGTCGAGTTGCAGCATGAAGCTCCAAGAGCGGCATTCCGCTCTCTGAGGGAACGCCGGACATGGTTGAAGAAAACGCGGTGGCACCTTTGCAGGGCAACTCAAGCTGTCTGGAGCTCGTCCTTCCAGCGTCGATGCTCAAAGCACAGATAAGGAGAGAGAGCCTCAGCGTGGCTGCACGGCGAGCACGATTGTTGTGCCGCACGTTGCGCTGAACGCAGTTGGCCGCACGTTGCGCAGCCAACCCGAAGTGCCCATGAAAAACATCAGCCACAGAGGGCTGCGGGAAGCATTCCATCTGGCAACAGACTGCGCATGACGTCAAGCATGCTCCCAGAAGTCAATACAAGTGCTCATCTTACAGTCTTACTATTCGTTTTCCGACCATAACTGTGGGTGTCGTTGTCGGGGTGTAGCATGTGTGAAAGACGACCCAAATATAATATCACGTGTACCCAACCACGGTTCTTTATAGCACTGGAAAATCTCCTGGGCCACAGGACGCTCCAAAGTGTGCCAGAACAAAGACGCCCTCCACAACCTCGCCCTGACAGCACCACAACTGGCATGTGATAGCATGTGGTGGCATTTGCTGCATGTCCCTGTTCGTCCCTGCCTTCACGTGCCGTCGCGGCAATGTGCTGGCCCCAGCTGTGCGGTGCACCAAAGGTGCCACAGGCCCTGGAAGGCAATTAAAGAACAGGTGGCGCTGGGAGGCGGTCTCTTTGGAAGGTTCTGGGAATCTTTCGGCAACCATGGTTGCCCTAATAGGAGGTGGCTCCTTCATTGCAGGAGGACGACAATGCTTTATGTGCATCTCGGTGCGAGGGTTGAACTTGTGGAAATGTTCTTTAAAGGTCCCATATTGTTGTCGCCAGCTCTGCCGGATCTGCGCTTGCAAGTGTGTGAGTTGTTGCCCCTCACATGATCTGAATGGAAATTAAACGTGCTCATGTGCAGGCTGTCTAGGAACATTCCGCCACTTGACTCTGTCAGGTCCTACTACACAGTCCCGGAAAGAAAGAAGAAAGCAGGACCAAGTTGCTGAGGTCCACGATGGGTCGCGCCGCGAACCTTTGCTTCTCTCGCGGCTCTGAACTTGCGACTGCCAGGATGTATCATGTGAACATGATGAGCCACTTGCATGTCCATCACCTGATGATCCAGCGCAAGCCATTTGGACGCCAAGTCTAATTAGTCATGACAGCTGTGCGGCTAGCAAATTCCAGCCGGGATTCGCTGCCAAAATAACCGCCTCATGTCAGCTTACACGGCTTCTGCTGGCCCTTGAGCGTCGTACTCGATTGCATCAACTCGGAGTCTCGGCCCCCGGCAGAGCAGGACCCTCGTTCCAGTTGGCCAGAATCCTTGGGACACGTGAGTCGGCACGAACTTGATTGTTGAACGAATGCCCCAGTGCTACATATGTACTAGATGGCCCCACGCTCCGTCCTCATTGCTGAAGACTTCTAGCCGCCCCCGATGCAGATCTACTTCTCCAGCCAATTCCTGGCTGCTTGTGATGCCAACATGAGCATGAAGCTGCCGAGCACCTCTAACAGGTGATCTTCAATATTTCAACCTGTTTTGCTGCCGCCACACTAAGCCGTCGTCCTCCACCGCTGCCCGGCTTTGCCGCAAGAGTGCCACGGACAAAGGCCGCGGCAGTTGAGATGCCCAAGGCTCCGGCAAAACCAGAAGCCTCGACAGGTAGTGGTGGTTCCAACCGCGAAGCAATGGACATTCAACGTCGATCTATCTCTCGATATCTCTCAATCCTTCTGGCTCGTGTTTGAGATGTCCGTGTTCGTGGTGTCCGTGTCTGTGTGGGCAACCCTGCCACGGGTGCTCCACTAATGGCATTCGTAAAGCTGGCACAGTGTTAGTTAGAAGGCTTCCTGTCTCCTCGGGATGCGTGAGTAAGACTATTGCTTCATTCGAGTAATGCTGGGGGATCTGCATATTGCTTGTACCTGGCAGGCGACCACAATTGACGAATTTCTCAAGAGCCTAACTCGGACGCTCTCGGAAGCCAATAACCTTTGAGGGGCTTTGTGGCTAGCATTTCAATGCTGATAGATGTCTCAGACTTTTCTCAGCACCGCACTGCAGAGCCAGCTCCAACCTTGGACATATCTCGCCTAGCACTTTGGGTCAGTGGGGTCTGTGCCTCGGCCCTGGCAGGCCCTTGCACTGCGCTTGCACACTTCACGCTGAGCCACGTGTGTTGCTCATGCCCGAGGAAGCAGACGCGGAAGCCAGCTTCCGGAGACGCTTCGAAGTCGCTAAAGAAGGCCAACATCTCCTGCGTCATGAAAACATATCGAAAGCTGGGCTGCGCAACCCAAAGCACACATCTTCCGAGGGACCGTTTACCCCAAATGCGGCCTTCCATGCCACACCCGAGTCCACAGGCGCCCGCGCAGCGGCCACCAGCCTTTCTCTTTCTAGCACATTGCGCAGACTCGCGAAAAAAAACGAATCCCAAAAGTTGGACCGGTGGGCTGATTCCATACCGAGGATACCACCGCAAGACCCCAAGCACGGTAATGAAGCGAGGCATTCGGCTCGGCCCCCATGCGGGTTGGGGTATCCATGCAGGAGGTCCGATGTATTTACATGTTGCAGTGCTACAGTTGCATGTGTTGCGTTTGCTTTTTGGCACCACCTGCCCTGTGAAACCGTGCTTGGATTACGATTCAAGCGTGCAGCATTACTTCCACACTTCAAGCAAGGATAAGCGAAGCATAAGTAGAGTCGCTATCAAGACCTTGCGTGATGTTGCCAGTTACTGCGTCGGACATCTTGGCCGTCGGCATCACCGCTTCTACTCTGAGCCATCTGAGGTGTTGAGGCGTCTGCACATTGTGACGGCACTGACTTGAGCGCTCGGCATCGAGCAAAGCGTCCAACGAGCAAACTGGGCAAGGTTGCTTCTTTTTGGCTCCTTTGCATTGAAACACGTATATAGTCGATCACTGTGCAACCTCAACTTCAGTGTCAGTGCGGCCAAGATCTGGTCACGGTTCCGCGTCAGCATCTTCAGCCTTGCAACGCCCTGAAAATAATTTCACCAAGCTTTGGCCATGGAAGCAGATGAAGCAACCTCATTGACCTCATGGTCTGGCACCTTAGGTGTTCGGCCTCTGCATGGTTCGGAACCACTGTGCATCTGCATTCAGTTGCCATCGGCCTGGCCACCACCGCTTTCATCGCCGCCGCTAGAATTCGCCGCGCGAGAACTTTCCTCCACACTGCTCACATAGACCTTGGCGGTCCCTGAGCTTCTGATCCTGCTACTCCTCATCAGGTAGGCCCAAACCAACGCGATCACGAATGCACTCGGGATGGCGATAAGTACGAAGAGCCAGGCGTGGTCCATCTGACGAGTATCTCCTCCGTCCCGCACACAACCCGTGTGTTGGGTGTGCCCAGGCTTGGGCCAAAAAAACGGTAAACACAGGCACGGGTGGCTTCAAAGATCATGTGGCACAACTCCGTCGAAAGTGGAAACAATTACTGTAGCCTGTGTGCGTGCCCGCGCTTTGGCAATGGGTGCTGCTGTAGCATAGCTGCTTGTCACTGTAAAGAGGTATGGCCAGCTAAAAGGGTGGGGCAACGAACGCCGGATACGTCATGGTGCCCTGCAGCGCATTTGAGGCCAGAATTGGCAAGTCTAATTGCCCCATGTTTTGCACCGGAACGCGCTAACTCTGCCAGGATGACCTGCAACTATCCTCAAATTACATGGCATTGCATGGCACTGCACATTCAGACCCGGTAACTCTTCAGCAGCTCAGGTGGAACCTTCTCAGGGCAGGAGAAGTACCGGCGGCCCACCTGCAACCATGACAATAAGAGCCAGTGATGATTTCGAAACGACTACACTTTTGTCTTTACATTCTTTCTCTCGCTTTGACTCTCCACTTCCTCCCTCTCTCATGTGGAGGCCTCTCTAGCAGTTGCGAATGTAGCCAGGTCCTGACATTTTGGAACAGCTCTGCTTGATTGATGCACGGAACCTGACGGTGCATGCCTACCCGTTGCGTCCTTGTAATGGTGCAGCAAGGGGCAGATGCTCTTCCAAAACGATTCAAACAGATCCGGAGCATCAACAAGCAGAATCCGCGCTAACCGCCGCGGATAGTAATTGTGTATGACGTCAATCATGAAACAAACAAACTCCAAGTCTGCTTGCAGCGGAGTGAAGCCACTCAAATCCACAATGGCCAATGCCTGCTCAACTCGGTCGCTTGAAGATTCCGAGGACTCCGAAGGCTCCATAATGCTCAGCCTTTCCAGTAATTGCTCCATGTACCATGTGCACATGCTGCAGCTTTCTTTGAAGCGGCGTTCGAGGATGTTGTGTCGGCGCGCGATGACAACCAACACCGGTCTCCCGGCGATGTCACGGTGAGCATGCAAGTAAGCTTTGCGAGAACGCATTTCCTTGATAAACAGCTCCGGGCCAAGGCGTTCAACGCCGAACTCCTTGCGCCACTGCAGACACTTCCGTAATTTGGATGCCGCTTCCGCGACATTCAACTGTCGATCTCGCAAAAACCACCACAGCAGAGCTCGGTTTTGAGCAGCCGGCCTCCCCCTGAATTTGAGCATGTCAGGAATATGCCGCTGTAGCTGTCGTATGTGTTCGTCGACCGTTTCTGCATCTACATCAAGGGGACGTTCAATGTGGCACGTGCCCAGACCTGTTGGGGAGCTGTGTAACGCCGACCGTACTGTTCGTGCTAAGACCTGGCGACGGCGGCGAAGACCGCATGCTACCACAAAAGCAGATGCACCAGAGAAGGCAGCAGCAGCCATGCCACCAGCCATGCCCCTCTTTGTAGAACTTCGAAAATATCCCAGAAAACGAGCGCTACGCACGACTTGTCGGCCACGTGTGTCTGGCGGTGCAAACTCCGGCGGCTCTAAGCCAGGCTTGAAGTAGTGTTGTCTCAGCTCCTCTACCGAAACAAAGTCCGCCAGGCTGGAATATCTTCCAAGAAGCGGTTTGATGCTCTCCCAGAATGTCCGGAACAAGTCTGGAGCTCCCACCAGCAATACCTTCCCCGTGCGTCCCGGGTAGTAGTTGTAGAGGGCTTCGATCAAGAACCCAGCAACCTCCAAGTCAGCTTGTAACGGCGAGAAGTCGCGTAGGTCAAAGATGCCAAGCGCCTGCTCAGGCTTGGAAGTTTCAGGAGCTCTTGGCTTGGTCCCTTCCGGAGGTGGCTCCAGCGTATGCAGCTGCTTCATGGCTGTCTCCAGCATCCAGGTGCACATCCGCGAGCTTTCCAACAAGCTTCGATCAAAGACGTTATGCCGTCGGGCAATAGCTACGATCACCGGACGACCGACAACGTCTGGATGGCGGTGCACATAACCCTTACCAGCACGCATCTCCTTTAGAAACATATCTGGACCAAGGTATTCCACTCCTCAGCAACCATCTCACAACTTCACAACCATCGCCTCTGCATCGTGCATTGCGGCAAGCAGAACTGAGCGTCCCACGGAACCTTTGTCGCCAGCGCAAACACTTCACAAGCTTCTCAGTGGCCTGGAGCACACGATGACGATGGTGCGTCAAGATTTCTTGCTGCACATCTCCGGTGTTGAGCTTTCAGCTATTTCAGCTACGCCTCCTTGACATCCAGACGTCGGTCTCGCAGAAACCACCAGACTAAGCCAGGATTCTCAACTGCTGGTCGGTGCTGAAAGTTCCTTGTGCGCAATGTGCGTAACTATATGTCTCACCGGCAGCAGCATGTGTCAGCATATGCTTCGGACTGCGAACGGCTGCTAACTGCTAACGAGTCACGGCAGGTTCTTGTAGCCTCAGCTAGTTGGGGTGTGCAAGCACGAGACCTGCCATGCCTCTGCTGCATGTAAAATGCACAGGCATGTTCACCTACAGATACTCCCTGCAAGCCCTTTCTGCGGCGCAGCCACTGCGCAAGTTTTGGCACACCTACCCAGATGCCATGCTTGTGAGCGACATCTTAACTGATGTCTTCTGATGTCTTCTGGGACATACTACCGTCCTCGCTGCATCTCGCTTGCTGCATCCGTGTCCAGGCCTCATTGATGCGAGCCCACGCGATGCTTCCGTCCACCTTGCAAGGCTCGATGTAGGTAGAGCCTCGTGGGGTACAGGACGTCCACAGGACAGCTGCATCAAAATCCAACAGGCACCTTGACTATCCTTGACTATTCTTGACTCAAGGGAAGCGGGATGGGTGTTGGGGCCGCGTCTACGGATACGAATCAGGCTTCAACAAACGGCAACGCAAGCCCTGACGCAAGCCCGTTCTCAGAACACATGGCTCATGGCCAAAGCTCGTGAATCAGATTCAAGAAAGCACATGAATGCAAAGAGGCAAATTGTCTCACAGCAAGCCGCCAAGGTCCGGCCCAGCGCGCAGAGCTGTGTTGCTCAAGCCTGCCGAAGAACTTTTCGGCACCTCACGGCAGAAAGCGGCAGAATGCGCAAGTTCAGCGTACCTGTGCCTTGTACGTACGTGTACGAACTAGCCCAACTGTTCACGCTGTGTCGACATACCCCACACCTCCCCACCCTCAACTTCGGTTCAGTGTAATTTGTTGCGATGTGTGCTTCTTCAACCTACGCAGGCATGCGCACGGAAGCCTCGGTATGACCAGAGAATGCCAGCTGCAACCTCGGATCCGGGAATTGTGATTCAGAAATGAAGAGGTGCAGAGGCATTCTCAGCAGGTGTTCTACTGTTTCGACCCCAAGCAGGCCAGTCATCGAGGAGCCTCGAGATTCATAGCGGGTATTGGGTTCTGCTGCTCGTCATTTGGAGAACTGGCCATGAAATGCCATGAACCAGCCCTCCGGATCCCCTTGGTCTATCCAGATACTGTCGGGTCAAGGGCTCTGCAGCGCAAAGCTTGATTCGCAAAGGTTTATCCAGTGAGCCAGCTGACAGCAGCAATACAGCTACAAACTGCATTCAAGCCCCCAAGTGCAGAATGAATGAAGCGCTTGAGCATGTCGTGACACTTCAAGCTCGCCTTCTTGCTGCTGTTCAGTCACTGCACACCGTTTGGGAAGAACGCAGCTGCTGCTGCTGCCGCAGGCACCGTCAGTTTCAGCGCTCGACCTCGGCTCAAAGTGGGTGCCAACATAATCAGGTCGCCCCACCTCAGTGTACCGATAGGCCCTATACTCAATATCCTTTCAGTTTAATCCCCTCTCAGGACGACCTCCTGTTTCACAAACCTTCTGGCCTCTAAGCGTGTGAGCCCGGCGGTCATCTGCCATTCCAGGCGACGCAAGCTTTGGAGGCCACGAGCTCGGAGCTACCGATTTAGGTGCGTGGCTGATTCTGAGGGTGGGCGCCATACATATTAAATTTGCATGTACAGTAGCCCAAACTAAGTACCTGCTTGTTTCTGTGCCAGTTCCCGGACTCAAACTTCAGGAATGAGCATGGGCCAGCAAGTGGCGAAGAAAGCCGCTACAGGCATCTGCTACAGGCATCTGCTACAGGCATGTGATCGTTCGCTGCAACTGCTTCGGCCACTTTTGGCGGACTCCGTGCCATGGGCTTCAGCTCTGCCAGCAAGAGCTGCTGGAGACGCAGGACCTTCCACAAAGGAGCAGATGCTGAGATGCGTAACGGGCATAAGGCTGGCACAAGGGCTTGGACATCTTGGACTGAAGTATTTATCAGCATTTGACATGCTATTTTCTGGCAGCTTGGCTGAGCCGCTGATGACTGTACAACACGTCACGCTCCAGCTGCCTCTCAGTCTGACGACTATCCGCGACCATCCGTGACGGAATCCGTGGCGGAGTCCGTGACAGAATGCGCGACCATTTGCATGACTCTGCATGACTATCTTCGCGACTATCCGCTCACGACAACATACATCTTCTCACGACAACATACATCTTCGTCTGGGTGCAGGGACGGCCGCCAAGGTGCCCAAGAGGTGCGAGAGCTCCTGGAGTTCTCCAGGTTCCACTCCAGCCTCACGCAGCTGCTCCACAACTCTCGTGTTGCCCTTCATGGCTGCATAGTACACTGCCGATCGTCCTGTCACATCTTTGATGTTTACGTCGGCCTTGGCCGCTAACAAAGTTGCGATGATCGCCGGCGAGTCTTTGATGCAGGCCTGCATGAGCGGCGTACGGCCCATCTCATTTGTACTTTGCAAGTCAACACCCCGGCTGATCAAGTGCAACGCCAGGTCGCTGAGCCTCATCCTCACTGCCAGATGAAGCACATTGCTCCCCGAGTCTAAGAGCAAGTTCCCGTCAGCATCGAAACCGGCACCCTGATCGAGCAGCTGGCGGGCCTCTTCAACACGGTCCTTGTTTGCTGCCACGACAAAGTCGGTAAGCAGCTGGCGATAGTCAGCTGCCTTACCTGGAATTCGGACGATGACCAAGTCAAGAACTTCGCTTGAGAGGAATTCCTTGAGAGGCTTGATCATTTCCGCATCATTCAGAGTCGCACCCTCGTGTACCAACTGTACTGTGAATGGCGGTGAGCAAATCACCTCGGCGATCCTCTTCTTTACGTTGATCAATGGCTCGTCTGAGCTGATGTCGAACCTTACCTCTCGACCACCCAACGTCCTGGCGCTGACACTCACCGATGGAATCGATGGACAATGGACCCCTGGGACCAGAGGACTTCCACTGCAGTCACCATGTGGGTCTCCCGGATTTTCCTCGCTCTGCTTCATGGCAGGAGCAAGCGGAGCAAGTGTCTAGGCACCCCTTCGAGCCAAAGCAAGAGCCACACAACTCCTAGGGTGAAGTTTTGATGTTCATCACTCTTCGTGGCTGGTCACTCCTGAGCAGCTTCTTATTCATCCAGGACTCGGCCTTCGAGATCCGGCCTTAAGCATTACGAGACCAGAAGTTCAGCTTTCGGCAAACTCTGCTCCTTTTCTGATTTTCTGGGAGCTCGACAACGACTCCGAGGAGGACGTCCGAACGGACAGTGTGCCTGTCCGATGCTCAACACTGCCGCAGCGATGCACTTTCTACTGGGCTTGAGGCCGCTGAGGCCTTCTGGTCGATGGGTCCTGCGCACAGTCATGTGCATGTGCACAGAGACGCATGACTCCATCGGGCCATGTCACAGAGCGCCAGAGAAGAAAGCCACCAAAACTACATGCGCTCCAACTACATGAGTCAACATGTCTCATGACGTCTTATGACTGCTGGCTTGGCTCTGTGGGGTTGAGTGGTTGAGGGGCGAGGCGACTGCGACACTTAAACACTCGAACGCTTGCACAGCACACCATCAGTCCCATGCGGTTGCAAGACTGCCGAGATAGGCTGCCACGTCTTTGCACCTGGCTTGCAGATGTGCGCAGCGCATTGCCGGACACTGAATTCTGTGGATGCTCAGGCCAAGGCTTGGAAGGGCGAACCTGACAAGGCTGCGTGACGGGTCTACACAGTCTCCAAGTAGCTTTCAGATGCCCCTGCAAGAAGATGCGGGTCAAGGCACGGCTTGGTTGAGAAACCGCATCCACCGCATCCTCTCGGGACGCGAGACAGAGCAGCTTCCGACTGGAGACTCGAGGAGAGATGCGCCTTCGGCCTCTTCGGCCTTTTCCGCCTTTTGGGCGCCTTGGTTTCCGTTGGCCGGGCTGGCGGGGCTCGCCGGGCTCGCCGGGCTGGCCGGGCTGCCTTGACTGTCTTTGGCCTAACCGGATGGAAGCACACGAAATGCGGAGACGAGGATAGACTCGGGATGATTCGGGCAAATGCAGGATTCGCGCGCACCTCAGCCTCCAGATTGGGCTCACCCTCGACTTCTGGGAATTGGAGACACAGCACAACCTGAGCAGTTGGAAGCTGCGGACTCGCGGACGAACAGAAGACCCCATGAAGCCTCCACTCCGCTTCGGTCTACGACCAGACTCTTCTTGGCGTTGCCAGCTAAGCAAGCCTGGACAAGCTCCTGGAGCGAAGGTGAGCGAAGCATGTGTAGGTAAGGACACGGTCACGATCATGGCTCCTCCTGTTGGGTAATCTCGGACTCATCCACCTTCTGCAAGATGTCACCCACGAGCAGACCAGCCTGCACAAGGCGATGTCTGGGGCAAGGCACAAGTTCTAAGTAAAGATTGTCTCAGACTAAGAGAATTTGAAATGTCCACTCTTGTGGTCACCGCACCAGCTTGCCTAGGAAACAAGATGGACCTGCGAAGCCCTCGAGAACCCTCTGCATGCCTCTGCAGCAACAGATCCTGATCAGATGTAAGTCCACTTTCATGCACGTGACAAGCTTGCGCCCGAAACAGTCGACTGTGTCAGTGCCAGTGCCGAGATTCCGGGGCACACAAAGGTCACACGAAGCCCTTCCAGAAAAATGCCCATCTGGCGTCGTCCTGGCGATTCGTCACCGGCCGTCTTCAAAAGCCTTGTGGTACAAAGCGGACTCCTGCCCGCAAACTCTCCACATCCTGGAGGTGAGGTCCTCGTTGCGAGGCATCATGGACATGTTGAGAGTCGTGCAAAGGCAGCGGCCACATCACACGCGCAAGATCATTGAACTTTTAGCTTGACCGCATTAAGGAATAGGCACCGAACTGTAATCGTGAACCGAACCGATTCGTGCGGAACCGCTGGAACTGCCGATGTTGCTTTAGGAACCGCGAACCGGAATCTCAGAAACCGAACCGAAAAAACTGTTCCAGTCAGCGTGTGACACAAACCCCAAACAGTGAAACTTGAAGAGCTTGATGAGGGGGCCTCTCCGGGCTTTGCCTTTAAAGGCTGTGCCCTTCTTCCTGTGGGAAGTCTAGTTTTTCAAGGTTTCGAGCCGAATTGCGTACTCCTTCATTCAATCATTGCGGGCCCCAAAGCTGACTTGGGCATCCCCCGCTCCGTTTCAGGCACCAACAGGGAGGATGCGCCGTTCGAAAATCTCAGACCCAAAGCTGCCGAATTGTGAATTGTGGACTCCCCCGCGTGCCTCCTCCCCTGTGCCCTTCCGCGGACCCCCCCATGCAAATCATGCATATTCATTTTTTAACCCTCAGTGCCTGCCTGCGTTGCCCTGCATTGCATTGCCTGCATTGCATTGCCTGCATTTGGGCTGGCGGTATGGGAAGGCGGGGCACCCCATCTGGGAACGGACTTCAAACGAAGCCGATGATGTACCAATCCAGGCTGACCTGGAGCAAATTGCAACCTGACGCAAACAAGGAAGGGATGATGAGGGTTGCATGGTGTTGCATGCATGCGCAGATACCGCTTGGGGACAGTTTGACCAGACAGAGGAGCTTTCGCAGGGCAAATATGTTCCTACGCCGGGGCAAATGTGTTCCTACGCCGTTGCCGAAAAGGGCCCAATGAGCACCCCTGCCAGAGCCTGCCCGAAAGCTCCTGGAGCCCAAACCTAGCCGACCTCCGTTCTTTGTCATTCAGAATGCTCGCGACATAAACCGAGGCACAAGAAACAAACCACACAGGGTTTCTTGAGCAAGAGACCGACCAGCTCGTGTACAGAATAACTCTTGTAGCCTTGGAGGGGGGAACCATGGAGGCCTGTGCACTTAAGGTCAGTCGGACGGACGTGGAAGGGCGCGGAGGTTGTGAAGGGGTGCGCGGGCAAAACATGTCGTGTTGTTTTCGTCGACTTTCGGCAGTCGCTTCGGGGGCTAACCAAAGCGTCACCTGCAGCCACCCTCGCGCAAGAAGCCGTCTGGAACCGCGAACCGAAGCGCACGAAGTGTTCGAACACCAGAAGCATGCGAACCGAACCAGTGGCTTAACAGCCGAAGCCGAATCGAACCGTTCCATTCAAGAATTGACCATCGTTAAGCAGGATGTAGGAGGGTCCTAGCATTTCAAAGAGCTGCTCAACCGCATCGGCAGCGGCCTCTTCGAAGCACGAGGGCGCAACAAAAACATGGCAACACCAAGAAGCCGTAGCTTTCTCATAAATTCCCACCTGGCCACGCCAGTGTTAAACTCTTACACCTGCAACATGTGCTGAATCCTGCGGCCGGAGCTCCTGCTGCGAAGTTGCCTCGTCATTGCAAGCCTGCGGTTCTTCTTGCGCAGTTTTTGCAAGATTCCTCAAGCTCCCCCGCAAAGAGCAAGTTGAACCCTACAGAGCGGGCCAAACAAACACGTGACGCGCTTCAGCCCGCACAGCCTCTGCACGCAGCCTAGGCTGCATCGGATTCACTGAGCGCATTCTGAAAAATCACGATGCATCCTGAATGAATTGAATGAATCCCTGAGCTTTGCCCAGATTTGCCAAGTGTCTGCTCACCCAAGCTCTCTAGGTACTTCAACATGATGTCTTTCGCGGCTTCCGCCTGCTCTGCCATCGTCTCTTGCTCCTGCCGAGCTCGCAAAACAACTTGACCGAAATCCCATCCATTTCCGCGGCACGTCCTCCGAGCCAAGCTTTTCTGATCCTTGCATGTCGGAAGCAAGGGTCCCTGCAATCCACAGCCGCAGGACCGCCAAACCATGTATCAAGAATGAAAATTTCCGAGAATTGAGAAAGCCATCTCCTGTGAGCATCTCGGCAGTGTCCTCACCAAACACAGCCTGCTTAGTGGCGCATGCCCGTTGCAAGCTGCTCATGCAAGGATGTCTTTGTAGGACCTTTCATCTGTGTATGCTGATACGGGCTCCGCCAACTGCTGCTAAATCGAACCACACATGCTGAAGGCCCACCGCATGCAGGGCAACAAGATCACAGCCCCAACCCTGAAGGCCTACTGCAATCGGTTAGAACCCGCCACATGCAAAAGAGACCCGCATGGTACCTCGGCCGGCTCATCTTGTTGTTCTGGACCCGGACCAAAGTCTGTTAGGTCAAGCCCTTCGAGTAGCTCTGCGGCTGCCTCCTGCACAACCTGAGTGTTCACAATTTATCACTCACTCCTCGTTGGTTGCTTGTGGCTTGTGGTGGCCAATTTAAGAAGCACGTAGGTTCGATTGTTGGTGTACTGCGCACTCTTTTGGTACAAAGGCTTGGCACTGAAAGGTGCGCCAGTTCCTGATTCCTGGCTATTTCTGCATGGAATGATACGGCTCATGGACCGGGTCGCAGTTTGAGGCTTGAGGCTTTGCCTAAGGTTGCAGCATCGTCCTCGTCCAGAACAAGGTGCAAGGCCTCTGAGCTGTGTAGTACCCAATACAATCACGAAAGACATGGCTGCTGCTCCTATAGTCCTTAGGCAACTGAAGTGCTTGGATTCAGGCCGCCTCTCTTAGACGATGACTGCCTGAAGTTTCTGGACCAGTATGAGGGCTCCATTGTTTCCGATGCCCACCACACATCACTGCCCCCTACTGTTCACCATAGTTAAATTGGCACTCAATGCACTCAAAGGCTCCTTCTGTTGCGACTGTCCGGAGCGCATCCAAGGCTGCTAAGCGGACCTTTTGCACGGAACGGAAGATTTAGAAAAACATGGAGGTGGGCCACGACGGACTCCACCCCTAGCTCAAGCTTGCCACGCTGGGGTCTGCGTCCTCTTTGGCAACCTTCACCAACCTCAGCACCCAAAAGACTGAAAAAACACGAGTGCGATTTCAGTTGGAAGGCCAACCCTGTGACGGCTCACACCTTTTGATTGCATGTTCCGGGCTTTCTTTGGCATCCGGTGTTCTTGTGCACGGACTCGCTTGCCCTTGAGCCGCGAGGGAGCGCCAGGTTTTTCAGATTGCTCTTCGCATTCCAGCTGCTGGAGCGCCTCTGCGTTAGCATTGTGGGGGCCCCGAGGCGATGTGTGCAACATGCGACCCTCGTGTGCAACTGTGCCGCCTGCTGGGCAGCCTGCTGCATGTCCAGCTGCTGCCGCCGGAGCCGCGGCGCACACGACCGCAGCAGCTCCCAGTGCTCCAGGGCGAAAGGGAGGTAACTCAGAGCAACTCAAGCACAAATTGACGTCTCCCGATCCGCCCTTCAGCATGAGCCCTTCAGCATGTGCTAATCTCCAACAAGCTGCACATGCAAGTTGTCGGCTGTGATCATGTGACCCCACGGCAGATGTAGCATCACGGAAAGGATCAGCTCCTTGATCTCCTGACCAGCTTTGCGCTTCACTCATGCGACAAGTGTCCGGAAAGCGAGATCTACCAGGGTCACCAGAGCTGGCAACAGGAATAACACCCGAGTCTACCAGAGTTCCTGCACGCGCTTCTTCACGGTTCCAACACCGATGTACAGGAAGTCGGCGACCTCGCAAGCTTCCGGTGTGCACTCCAGCTTCTGACGAGAGCAATGGCAGAAAAGCTCTCACTCTGCCCTTCCCCCCCCCCCCCCCCCCCCCCCCCCCACAAAAAAAAAGTCTTATACTCTCCAATCCTGGCCGCATCTTGCGCGTCCAGTTCGTAAAAGTAGGCCCGGGCAGCCAAGACAAAAGCTGCCGCAATCACAAATGCCCACTTCCGGCCAGTGCAAACCCAGCCTGTCCATTGCCCGGACAGGTCACATCGTTGCTGCGCAGAAAGCAATCAGAACTTGATGGTCTATAGCAACAACAAGCCTTGGCTTGAGATGGAGACGAGCTTGACCCCAAAAGCACAGACTCCTCCTGTAGGTCACCAAGAAAACGCTTCAGGCACACTCGCTCTTCGGCCAATGAACTTCTGGCATCAGACAGGCTACTGCGTTTTGCCGCTTTGCCCCTTTGATGAAGGTCGTCATGCACCGCCACTGAAGTGGTCTAAAACTTGTGGCCGAGTACGATCCCGAAGGTCCTAAAGGCTTGCAGAACTGCCTTCCCTGCAAAATCACCATCCCAGACCAGAGAATGTCCTTTCTGTTTCACGTTGAGGTATTCGCAGATGCGAGCAAGTGCAGCCTCTGCATTCTGGTCACTCCTAGCCAGAAGCCAAGCATCATCACCGTGCACAAGCTCTGTCACACACACACACACACCTTCCAGCAGCATCCAGGTCCTGGGAATTCGCACACCCGTGGTCTTGCAAACTCTCCAAACCATCTTCTGCAGCTTGTTTCCCTGCATCTCTCCAGACTCCATGGTGGCACATGAGAACAAAGTTCGAAACTTCCAGCGAACTTTGCACTGCAGATTCCTGATGCGATCTGCAGCGCCTCCAGGCAGGCGTGCCGCGCGACCTCGCCCAAGGTCACGCCTCACACATGCCAAAAACAATCCCTGGCATCCTGCTCGGGTTTTACTGTAAGCGTTAAAGGGTATGCACGAGGCACTGCTTAAGACTGCTTCGCGGGCAGCTGCATCAAGACAGCTGCAAAAACTGTGGCATTCGCAATGTGTCACGAAATCTGGCACCACCACAGAGCATGAAATGCGTGAACGCGCCTAGGCCTTGCCGGCTTGCCGCGATGAGCAGGCATGCTGCTCCAAACAACTTGTGTCGGGCCTGGTGTCATCGACAGACGTAGACAGTCGACCAATGTCGATCGGAGCAGCTGCTACGGAAGCACTGCCAACAAGAAAACTGCATTCCGGGCGCAGTGTTTCGCAATGTTCATCGCTCAGCCATCCCTCCACCCAATGATTCAACACAGTCTGTTTGCAATACTCAGTCTTCCCATGGTTAAAGGTACTGGATCTTCTCTGTGCGGGTCAGCATTGGTTGCACCAGGCAGCACTTGCTGCGAACAGTTACAGACGGTCCATGCGCACTCCACACTCTGACGGCATGAGCCCTAGCCGGTCCGGTCTCAAATCTGCCGGATTCTGGCCTTGCTGCCTTGAAAACCGTTGACGCTGTACTGATTGATGAGCAATAGCCTGAGGCTTTCAACAATGTCAATCTCACTGCGCTTGCAAACACATGGTCCTGACATGCAGGGGTGAAACTTTCTTTCGAGGCCTATTTGCTGTCGCTGATGGCCCACAAGGATATGAAACCACAAAGCGCCAAGATGCGCCAAGTAAAAAGCAGCGCCAGGAATTTAATTAAAGCGGGTGTATGCGAGGAACCTGCTCAAGGGGAGGCACGGGCAACAAAGTGGTGCAGACACAGGCTGCCAGAGGGAAACAGACAGCAGCAAAACTCGGGAACTGTACGGAGCAAAATCCAAACGAATGCTCGAGGTCGCAAGAAACCAGCAGCCACATCAACTTCACAGCTACACACGCAACAATTTGGCAGAAAGTGATGGGGCGCACATCAAGGCAAGACATCCAAACCAGAAAGAAACGAGAAGAACAAAACCACCAAAAGCAAAGCCAAATTGGTCAAATCACTACACAACCCACACGCCACAAACATCCATCGGTCAAGGCGCGCGGATTCCTGCACGGTGGTCTGCAGTCGCAAACCAGTGCCCAGGCTTGCCAAAGCCTTCCTCCACTGGGATTGCTTCTTGTGGTCCTGCAACACCTGCTGTCACATGCAGGAAAACAAGGAGTTGGTTGTGCCTCAACCCTTGCACTGTTTGGACACCTTGGCGTTGATTTGCTTCAACTTCCTCAGTGTCGCAACAAGTACCAACCTGCAAATGTATGCGCCGGACAATCTCAGCCAACACTGTGCGAAAGAGCGGCATCAAGTGATACGGATGATGCGTCACCTGAACAGGCTGGGCCCGGGTGGTGGGCTGTGCCGGCTATGCACCAGACGAAAACACTGAGGAGAAAACTGCCAGCTTGTGGTTGCCTCTTGAGTTGGAGCCTGGCGCTTCCAACAGCGCAAAAGCTGACGTCAGGGTGCCCGAAGTGCTGGGATGTGCTCAAACCATCGTGGGCTACCGGATGTTGTCAAGGCAGCCGAAATGTATCCGCAAGAGCTTGCCCGCCTCGGTAGAGCTCTGCAAGCAAAACGCCACCGCAATTGGGGCAATACCTTTCGCCGCGGCGATCCTGGCCCAATACGGTTTCTTTATGTTTGCTTTGCTGTCATCTAAGAGTGCCCATGCCAAGCCCAACCCCGAAGCCCCGTCGCACGTTTGAGCCTGTGCTTCTACCACTTCCTGGCAGTTCGGGCACTGCTGCAAGCTCGACTCCATGGCTGGGTGCAACGATGAGCGCCGCTGTGATCGCTGTGATGGAGGCTGAGGATACGCGCCGTGGGGGCATACTCTTTCTGGTTGGGTGATGCCACGGCCCAGGACGGTCTGACTTCTCGGGAGACGGAACAGATCATAGAATGATGCAAAACATGTGATGTCAGATGTCTCATGTCGATTCATGTCGTGCTGTGAGCCTGCGTAAGAATGATCCACTCAGCCCCTGCCATGTGCAGCTCCGCCCCGTTGCTCGGAACAGAAAAAGGAAGAGGCATCAACGGGGCAACTGGACAGGCCAGTCTCGGTCACTGGCCCAGCTTCTACCGCAGGATGCTCTCTGGGGGCCCTTTGTGCGAGGATTGACCTCAAGAAGTCTCAGTCTAGCCGCAGCGCATCGAACTGTGCCAACAGGAGACAAGAATTGAGAGAACAAACTGGGCTTTCCAGCAAGATTACATTCTTGGCATCACTGCCGCGGACGTCACCCCTGAGTTGCATGACGCATGAATTCATCCCGACTCGGCACTCAACTGTCAACTTTCTCAGCCGGCCGCAATCAAACACATTCCACATCACAAACTGTCGATCGTGCTGTGTCGTTCAGAACGTTGACTGTATCCATGAGATCATGATGTGTTCAGCAAGATTCGGCGTCCGCGTTCGAACCAGATAACACGTGATAACACTGAGTGCCACACGCCAAGAGCGCCCTAATCAGCAGGGAAGAGAAAACCATGGCCTGGCATGCACACGCTGGACAAATCACATCCCCTCCTTGCCTGCACAATGACTCTACTCGGTCTACACGTCGCGCTGCTCGGCACTTTTTCGGTCAACTTCCCCTACGTAGCTCTCGACGAAAAGTCTTCAGTCCGTCGCATGAAACCTAAACCAGCCGCAACATTGGCACAAGCTCAAGATGCGCCGACTCCCGTTGTGTTTTCCCTTGGTGAGTGAGACCTGGCTTGTGCAGCCTGTTGGTGTCTAGGGTTCGCGATAAGAGTTGGCATGAAGGCGCGGCATCAAAATTGCACGTGTCGCTCAGGTTCGTCTGACACGTGCTGGTGACCTTCATGGGGAACTGCAAAGCCACATTGTTTCATGAGCATGGGCAAGTTCGGTCCACACGGCGTGCTGGACGTCCTGCATCAATTCAGAGACAACCTCAAACAACCGAACGGCATACGAATGCACGCCATGGTCACTGGGTCACTATCTGACGCAATGTCACCATGGACAGGTTCCCGAATCCTCCACTTCTCGACATGCTGCAGGAGTCCTGCCAACATCAAGCCCCTGTAACTATCATCAACATGAGGCTCACGCATCTCAATTGGTGTCAGGTCTCCTGCCAGACGCCCTCCAGCAAGTCTCATGATCTCGACATACGGAGTTGCCTGGCCTCGCCAAGACAATTAGGGGCCAAGTGACGCATTTCGTGCGCAGCAGAGAAACAGCTTGATTCTACCGATGGCGTGTCGGGAAGCGACGCAGCAGGTGATAGCAAAGGATCTTGAGGTTGACTGAGGTTTGCGGGGCGAGCCCTTGCTTGAGGCCCAGGCGGAAGGGTCCGGGCGGGTAGTTTTGCAGCGGTGGGAACTCTTTCAGAAAGGCAGGCAAAGACGCAACTTTTCCGATTCGCCGAAGCTTATCACGTCGAAGTCTTTTCGAGCCGCGCGTCTGATGGGCCTGCTTCTTGGCCTCTGGTTATTTCCGGGATACTGTTCCGATGGTGCCAGTGACGACCACTCAGGCACGCAGATTCCTGAATCATTGAAGCTGCTGGCCTTTCAGCCATGCCCACCCAAAGATCAACAACTTGGCGCACTTGATACATCAGGAGGCTCCATATTATCTGCAAAGGGCATGGCTGCGCCCTGCGCCCTGCGCCCCCCCTACGGGCCAATCTGAAACGTCCTTTGCGCAGTCTCCAGCATACCACTGCCACTCAAGCAGACAGCAACTTGACCATCTGCAGTTGCAGGTCAGATCTACATGACTTGCTGGGGGCCCGCAAAGCGGTCTCAGTATGGAGAGTAGCGCGACCCTTGTCCAGGCGAACCTCGGGATACGTAGAGGAGTGCATTCGACGCATATCGACGCTCCGCGCGGGCATGGCCGCATGGGCTGCATGGTGCTTGCCAAGGCCATGGCCCGCTGCATGCGCGTTGCCGGGGGGCGGCATGAACTCTGTCGGACATTCCTAACACTGCAAAGTTCAATGCGTAGCACTCGGACATGTGCCCTCGATTACTTCAACATCTCCATATCCTTTCCCGGTGAGTCTCCCAAACAGTCTGCCCTGTCTGCGTGTTGTGGTAATACGGCAGTCCAGACTGCGTCTTGTAGGTCCTCGCAGCAGTAGCAC